TATACTCTCCTGGTTTCTTTATGGACTAAATAGTAGTTATGCTTATTTGGTTTCCAACTGATTGACCTTTAAATTTTGAATTTGATACCCACATTTGTTTTGTTCTTTACAAGACTTGTTGCAACAAATTTTTTTTAGTGCCCACTTTTTAAACTTTTAAGTGTTGTTTTCTCTACAAGTAAAATTGTAAATAGGTTTTGATTTTAATTTATGTTATTAGATTTCCTTTTTTCTTTGTCAGTGAATGAATTTTGAGAGGAATATTATTTCAAAACTGCTGTTTTAGTTGTGGTTTCTTTTTCTTCCTCTCTCTTTTTATTGTATTTTGTATCTATGACTTAAATCCTTTGCCAGATCTGAGAGATGGAATTACTCACATGTGTTTCATACAGTGGAAAGTGGATAAGTATGCCAAGTTACTGATGGTTTTCCAGTAAATAGAGTCAACACCAAAGTGGGAATAACTTTTTTCACAGGACTTTCTGTTATATTCCATTACGAAATATTGTTCTCTGGGTTGAAAATTAGTTTTGGTACTCATCCATGTTTTAATAAAGATACCAAGTATTTATTAATTTATTAGGTGTTAAGCACTTTATAGAAACGATTTATTTAATTCTTCTAACAGCCTGTGAAGTAATTCCTTTTATTGTTCCCATTTTACAGATTAGGAAACTGATGCTTACTGTGTACCAGGCAGCCTTCTAAGTGCTTTATATAAATTAACTTTTTAATCCTTACAACAACCCTGTGAGTTAGGTACTAAATTATCCATATTTACATAGGAGGAAACTTAGGCACATAGCAATTATTTAGCTTGCCTGAGTTTGTGCCAGAAAGTAAGTGATGAAGCCAAGATTTGAAACCAGACATTCTGGATGCTCAGCCATCACCCTATATGGCCTCTCTCATCTAGTTTTATTACCACATTCCTTGCTTTCTCTGACATATTTACTCATCTATTCTATCTTCTCTTCACCCATGCAGCATATAAATCCATCTCTGCTTGGGGGCAGGTATCTATGTATGAGGATGTGTGCGTGTATTAGTATTAATGATTTACATAACATTACATGTTTTTTCAAAGCAAACCCTATTGCATTGCTTCTACATGCCAATTTGAGTCAAATACTGCATTCCAGAGGCCAGTCTGGTCCCATTCATGACCACTGGTTTTTTGTTAGGACCGGTCTGCCCCACAGATTTCCTCTAATAATTCTCCACACCCTCTCTCCAAATGGATGCTGGCCCAAGGCTGAAGATTCTTGAGAGAATACTAATTTGATTGTTTAGCTCTTTGCCAGGAGTTCTAGCCAGCTTTTCTTTTCTGCAATAGTTTGATTCTTAGTTCTGTTTTTTTGGCACTGGCTATAGGCAGCTAACACTAGGTGCTAACTATGGTTCCTAAGCAATTAGTACAACCATTAGCTAGTTCAAACCCCAGAGTAACCTCATGAGGTAACTATTATTATTCCCAATCTAAATACGTTGACCTCAAAACTGAGAGTATTTGAATAGTGTGCCCACTGTCACATAGCTAAAAATTGCAGAACTGGCGTTAAACCTCAGACCTTTCACACTGTGTGATGCAGGTATTAGAGAGCCTGGCACATAGAAGTAACTCATTATTTTCTTACATCTTTCTAAATGAACACACTGGTGAAGTGTGCAAGGAGATGACCTAAACAAATGTAATTACCGGTTAATAGGAGACATCTTTCTGAATTTTTTAGGACAGATGTGTGAGATGATCTCAGAGTGTTTTTATAGTGAAAAGTGGATTTCAGTTATATATATCTTATGTTTTTTGGAGATGGAGTAGGAGAATACATGGGATTTTTTAAAAAAAGAACCAGTTTGCTTTTTCCCCATCATAATTTCCAAGTAACTTGGAATATTGAAGTTTGTGAAGAAAAAGGCCTTATTGAAGTCTTGGGCAAATACTGCTGTAAGTGGGAGAGGTCTTTAGAGGAATTTAAGGAATGGTGTTGGAAATATCTCTAGTATGCCAAATATAAACTCTTCAGGGAAGCTGAGGTTTAAGTAGCTTTCCTACTTTACAGTATTACTAGTTTTCTGAGCCAGGGAGGGAAAAGGGAAAGTTTCATTTTAAGCTGAAGTGAATGTTATTTCCTATGGGCTAGATTTTCAGGGAAAGGGAAAGGGTGAAAAATAGGAAGAATTTTTCCTTTAGGCATCAGCATGGCCCGAGTCACCTAATGCTGCCTGATGCAACATTACTGTCTGGGGTTTCTGGCCACTTGACCTTCCTTCTGTGACTGCGATTCCCCAGAGGTGGTTTAGAATTCTCTCATAGGAATGAGGAGTCCTTCGGCAGCACCATATTGCTTTACATATAACCACGATTACCCTATTTAAATTTCACATCCCCTCAGTGTTTCTATTGACTCACCTAATATTTCACAGTGCCTAATGGAACTTACATGTATACTAACAATAAGACTTTGCACGCTAATTTAAATGTCATGTTGGGGCTACTGACTGAAGATATTATTTATTATAACAAAATGGTGATAGAGTCTTTCATGGGTTCTATGGGAAAAAATCAGGAAGAGAGATACTTAGGAAGAGGGGCAGCAGATCATTCAAGTTTATTTTAGTGACTTAGTAGGGCTTGGTTGTGGCCACCAAGCTTTGCATGATAGTTTACATTGTGAAAGTAAAAACTTACATGAATATTTCCTGCATTGTTTTACTAAGTGTTTTGCAAAGTTATTTTCCAGCTTGAATGATTATAAAAACAATCACTCAAAATTAAAGTATTTTTCTGTTTAAACTGATTTTAAAGTCTCCTAAACTTTATTGGAGATACTTAAATGTGTATTTACATTTATGTAATATGACGCGTTCAGTATTTATGATCTATAATATAGATTGTGAAAATGTAGTGATTTTCTTTTATTAAAGTTTATGTTACATTTATTGAATTTTGGTTATGTGGTGTTCATTACTCCTGCCTTAACCATTGTTACACAACTAAGTAAATACACTCAAAATCGGGGAGAAACTGTTTAGCTTACTTCCTATTCAGTGGCAGAATTCTGTTAGAGTCTCAAATTCCAAATTTAGCCTCCCTCAGTTATACCTCTATCCCTGCATTTCCTTTTGTAATAGGTTCCTTGAGTATATATGATTTTAAATTACCAATAAAATTTTTATTGATTTTGAGAAAGAGAGAGGGAGAGGGAGAGAGAGACATCGATGAATCACTTGGCAGCTCCTGCACACCTCCTGCTGGGGCTCGAGCCTGCAACCCGGCATGTGCCCTCACCCGGACTCGAGCCTGAGCCCTCTCGGTGAATGGGATGATGCTCAGCCACCCGAGCCACACCGGCCAGGGCTAGATTTATTTCTTTATTCAACTAGTGAGATCATCTCTTTGTGTCTGAAATTGTAATAAATGCCTTCTGTTTCTATATATTATATTGTTGAAATTTTCTTTAATTACCCTTTCCCATGAGTCCCCCCACCCCTCTGATGCTGTAGAAGCCGTAGGCTGAATTTCTATTAAGTGGTTATCTTTAACTCTTTTTAAAAAGAAAGGCAAGCATAAATTCTTTATATTGTAATAATAGAATGTGAAACTGAATGTGGCAAGGAAACTTTTGGGAGTTGGTGATAATTACAAAAAAAATTATCTCTGTATAGGGAGCGTTTTGGTGGGGCTTTGGTGAGGGAAAGGATGGGAAACCTATAGCAGTGGAGAGCTGAGCATCGAAAGCAGGAACTGGGCATTTTCTAGGACAAGGAACACTGCTTTCCATTTAAACCTTCAGTCAAGCTCTCGAAATTTAGGTAATTATTCAGCTTTGATGATACTAGAAGATGCTAAATGTTGTATCAATCCATTTTACACACCCAGAAGAATGGCAGGCAGCCAGAAAGACTTCAATTGTCCTCTCCTGTCCTGCAGACAGCACTCGTGGTTTTTCCATCCTCACCGTAAGACTGTCTGCTTTGAAGCCTGAGGTGGTGTGGGGATGGGTGGGCTAGGGTTTGATAGAATCACATTTTGGGAAGGATGGTTAACACAACTGAAGGAGTTCTTTCACTTTGCATCATAATTCAGGCCCAAACAACTCCTTAGTCTGCCATGGCTTTGAATTCATCGTGTAGATGTGTTTTCATTAAAAGAAAAAAACCCACAAAGATGTTTTTTATATAAATCAGTTTTAGAAGCAAGACTCAAAAGGCTCCGCATCACTTCCACTGCATTCGGTGGGTCAAGGCAAGTCACAGAGCCATCCCCGAGCCAAGAGGAGGGGCCATGGACCTCACCTCTCAGTGGGAGAAGGGCATGTGCATGGGGGGGGAAGAACTGATGGTGGCGATCTTTGGTGGCTCTAGAACCCTAACTAGTTATTTTAATTCCATAGACTGGAATTCCAGCTATGCCTTTGCTTCTCCACACTGCAGCCTACCTCACAGAGGTCACTTGGTGACCTCCTCATTAGCACATATATTATCTGTCGTAATGCATGTCACTTATGTATCTTTTAATATGTTATTTACATATTTTATATATATTTAAAATGTTTTATTAGAGAAGTTTTCAAACATATAAAAGCAAGCAGAATATTATAATGGACCCCCATGTATACATCACCCAGCTTTAATGATTATTAACTTAGGACTAATCCTATTTCACCCTTACCCTGACCCACTGTCCCCTCCTATATTATATTGAAGAAAATCCCAAATATATTATTTCATCCACCTATGTACAATTTTAATAAACAACATAATAAAGAAATATATGCAAGTAATTTTAAGATTATGTTTTATTTAATGCAACATATCTAAAATATCATTTCAAGGTGAGTCAATATAAAAATTACTGAGCTACTTTATACTTTTGTATTAGGTTTTCAAACAACACAGGTATCATTGATGTATATTTTACACTTACACCACATCTCGTTGGGACTAGCCACCTTTCAGGTGCTCTTGGAGAGCACTGTTCTATTACTCTCCAGCTCTCAGTCATTTTCTGAACCATTTGGAGGCAAGAACATCAGTGTGGTGTTGAAGTAATGTTCAAATGCCCTTATCTGGTATATACCATGCATTATTACTATCATCTGTTTGGAGTCAGTCCATTAAAACTACTAGCCATAACTGAACAGCAGCCTTCTACTACTTGCTGAGCGTTATTAGATATTGTCTGTTGAGTCAGAACTGGTTTTGTATCATGTACAGCTTTCTTGGGAATCCTTTGCATTTCTGCAAGATCTCTTGCATATTTCAGGCAGACTGCCAGCTGCATGTCTTCAGATCTGCACACCTTTTAGATTTCTTGAGAAGGCTAAGTCTTCTCATAGACTCTATGCTAAAGACAGTTCCGCCTTCTGTAGTCATGTATTTAAAGTTGCCAGAGTTGTGTAGCCCAGACCAGAGGGTTGTGATGCATCCCTAGTAAACAGAAGCTATTTTAAACTTTCAGTGACAGCAAGTGTAGTGGGATGTGCAAGGAAGAACCAGTTGTCGTTCTTGCCATACTTTTCAAGATGTAGTTGTAAGTTTTCCTCATCTGTACCCACATCATTTTTAAAATATTAAACAGACTAATCACTTTCAGTACTGTAGGGCTTTGCTTGGTCCAGTGCTTGGTCCAAATCTCTTTCAGTTCAGCCTAATCATGCTCATTTTGGGATTCTCCAAGGATGATACAATAAATACAGCTTCTGAGAATACACCACTTTCTGATATCATTGTGACTTTCTAATCAACAAATCAAGAATGAAATTTGAGGTTTTACCATTCTCTTAAAACTGATTTATTATTTTTACTATGTGTTGACCAGTAATTTCTAAATTATAATCCAGTGAAGAAAATTCTATTGATGTATACTCATGTGGAATATATTACATTGTATTAAAAGTATCAAACCTTTGTTATTTTGTTTGATCGGTTTTTAAATATTCACTCAAAGAGTCTTTAATGAGATAAATTGTATGTAATTCACATCCATTGAACTACTTTATTACAGAAGTTGATATTGTGAGATTTCTAAGTCCCTTTCAAAAGGGAAATACAAGTTTTTATGCTTTTTCTATTTTCCTCACTTTGCAGATGCAACAGCTTGAGAGACAAGTTATTGATGCTGAACGTCAAGCAGAAAAAGCTTTTCAGCAGGTAGGGTATAATTTTAGTTAAAAATGTCTTCTTCTGCCTCTACCAATATCAGCATCGTTTTGCCCAAAACAATCCTCAAAATAGTCTTCTACGCTCCCCAACATCCTATTATTTTGACTGTTCATGTGCTGGATTCATAGAGAAAATGGAGAATCTAGCTTTATTTTGCTTAACAGATTTTCATAAGGATAAACTATACTTCTGTTAGGAAGTTTTATCTTTCTTTTGAGAAAGTCAAAAGAAAGTCATTACCATGACTTTCATGGTAATCCTAGCCATAATGAAATTTTGCATATAAATAATGTTCATAGCAGCTTTATTTATAGTAATAAAGAGTTGGAAATAACATGAATGCCATATTATAGAAGAATAAAGGGAACTATATCCACTCCTTGAAGTATTAAACTAATTAAAAATAATTATTACAAAGAATATATACTACTAATATGAAACTATGCTTAGAGTTCTATTAGGAAAAGAATATAAACATTTTATGTTTAATATGTTAATAGGTATGGAGAGAGAAGTCAAATATTTGATAAGTCACTTAACCCTTGCTGGGCCTTGCCAACAGCAAGATGAGTGGTTTGAATGAGACCACTAGGCTTAAAGTTTGTCTAATGATCTTAAACCCATAGCTTCACATTTTATGAAAAGATGTCTGTCAGATTCAGTCAAGAATTTCAAAATTATTATTCCTCCAAGAAGTTTACATTAAATTTCTTATCCTTGCTCTAAGTTTGTTGTGTTTCTTTCCTTCATTTTGGTAACAGTACCATCAAATCTTGTTTTCACCTAAAAGATTTCATTTTATACAGTAGGTTCTTTTAGTAGCCTGACAAGTTTCCAAAGAAACCCAAACCTAATTCTTAATTTTCTTAAATTAATAATACTTGAAAAGAAAATCTTAAAACTTTATTATTGCCAAATTTCAACCCCTACAAGAGTAGATAATATAGTGTAATGAACACCCAACACCATCTTCAACAGTTAGTCAGCTCAGGGTTAGTCTGTACCTCCATCCACTGTCCCCTCCTCACCCCCACACCAGGTTATTTTGAAACAAATCCCAGGCATCATATCTTTTCACCCATGAGTATTTCAGCACCTAATCTAAAAACAGACCTAAAAATCGTAAGTACAGTACCCTCTCTGCCGTTCATGTCTGCCTCCTTGTCTTTTCCTTTCTGACTTTGGCCTTTCCTGATGACATCTCTCTTTGCCTCTCATACCCCTGTGTTTCTCCAACGTGTCTCTCTATCAGATAGGGATATCTTTCTCTACCCGTTTTTTCTCTTTTTCCACTGCTCATATGATAGCGAAAAAGAAAGAAATTGAGAATGACTTTGTTTGCCCTTTCTTAAGTTAAAATACTTAATTCACATATGTGGCAAATTGATTTAGCTCTGAAAATTAAACTAAATTAAGTATATTTTATGTGTGATTTTCAGGATGTGTAATTCACTGGATCTTAAGAGAAAAAAAAGAATCCCCATTCCCAATTCAAGGGAAGCAAACCATGGCTGTTTGTAGCCGTCAGGGCTCAACCACTGATTGGATAAGTTAACAGGAAGAATTTCTTATTTGAAGTTGTCCTTTGAGGATACCCGGTGTAAAGTTATTTAGTTCTTTGTGCTACATTTGTAAGCAATAAAGCACCATGATTGGTTATTTTAGACATACTGCCTTAATCAAATCAATACCCACCCCTAAAAAAGAGTAAGACTTGCAGATCTCTCAATTTCTATATAATTTAGCAGAATTTGTAGATATTTCTTTTTGTGACAACACTTTAAGTGTATTCAGTACCTATTTTTTATGCTTTCAAAGGAATTTTTATTTTTACATGCTTCATAATGAATCTAAAAGTTAACAGGAAATATAAACAGAGAGCAGATGAATTCTCATGCACCAATTATAGCACCTTTTTTTGGCCTTCACAAGATTAAGTAAATATTATGAAGTTAGGGTAACTGAATCCTTTGCTGTCTTTAACAGTTTCCATGGGATTGGCCTATCTGCTGTTTATGTTGCTTAAATTCAGCTTGTCCTTTGTCAATGAGCCATATCCTAAGACTTAAACTGTATTTATATTAACCAAAAAGGAATGTTTCACCACTAAAAGCAGCAGCCAGCTGAAACCGGCTGAACTCTACCCTTTTAGCCTTGAACATTTTTCGTCTTGTTTATTCCTGAGTGGCATCACCTGCATCGCCATTAAATAAGTTGGCTATGAACAAATAATCACACACGTTTTCCAGAGGAATCTTGGCAGCCTTTATACTTAACGCTGTAGTTCATTTTTGTTCTTGTTCACAACTTTTGAAAGCAGTGTGTGCAAATCAACCTAGTACTACTCATGAGTATTCTTGTGAGACAGAAAAGCAGCAGATAACAGGTTTGGAAGATACTGATAGGATTCATTTCCAAGTACGCAGCTAGGTGTGTACTCAGACCTATTTTATGCTAACCAAAGAGGGGTAAATAATTTCCCCTGTAGAAGTTTGTTTTCCTTCTTTCCTTCTGGGTTCACTCACTTGCCTGTGACCATTCTAATACGTGGGCTAATCTGCCTTCCTGTACAGTTGGTTCTTAGTATCCAAGTCATTTTTGGTTCTTAATAAATAATTACTACTTAGTCATCCTAGTCTCCAGGACCTTGTAATGATTTACTTCATTACATGGAAACCTACTTTATCCAATGCTTTTCCTTTTCACATTCAGTGAGAATGAGTGGTTCTGATCTGACTGCATAAATTATAGAGCACTATGCCAAAATAATTGTTTACGATGTGATCAGAATGACTCATTAATTTGCAATAAATTTTAAATAACTGCAAAATGGTCTGGGATTCAAAATACCCTTACAATTCCTTTCTTCATTCTATTTTTGAATGATCAGGTTTGTCATGTTATTGCAGTGTATACACAGAAATAGAAACTTTCAGATCTCACTCAAAAATAAAGTTACATCTTAATTACCTGTAGTGTGTATAGGGGATGAGGTAAGAAGTGGGAAGAAGGAAACATCAACATAGGTAATTACAATGGAAATAATATTTGTAGCTCCTGCTTTCTTCAGTATGGATATGAAAATGGGCAGTAACATTGGGGGCTGCGTCAGGGTCCCCCGGACTACCCTCAGGTCTGATGATTCACCATAAAACCCGGAAAAGCTGTTATATCCATGGTTATGGTTTATTACAGTGAAAGGATATGAATTAAAATCAGCAAAGGAAAAAGGCACGTAGGGCAGAGTTCTGGAGAAACCAGGCGTGAACTTCCAGTTGCCCTGCCACAGGGGAGTTACACAGGGATGCTTTTGATTATCCCGTCAATGATGTGTGACAACACTTATGAAGTGTAGCCAACCAGGGAAGTTCATCTAAGCCTTGGTGTCCAGAATTTTTATTAGGGATGGGGTCAGTCTTGCAGGCATGGAATGCGCATGGGACTGACCTTAGCTAGAAAGTCTCCAACCCCTCCAAAGGTCAAACTGATACAGCATGACCTAGGACCCCAGGTGAAGGAACGAATCAGGCACTCGCCATGAATTGAATTGTTAGCATAAACTATCTGGTGTGGCCCAATAGCTCAGATATGTAAAGACAGTTTCATCAGGATATTTTAAGGGCTCAGGGGTTATTTCTCTGGAGCCAGTCAAGGACCAGTGCTTTCTTTGGAATGTGCAGGGTGCGAGCACCCCCAGTCTGTTGCACCCCTTGCTGCACAATAGCTCAGGAACCTCAGAATCAGCCGGTGCTTTGGGGAAATGGCTGAGGAGTGTGCTGAGGGGGGCGGATGCAGCTGGAAGCTCCCTGGAAGTGAAGGAGAAAGGAGCCTCGAAGCGGGAAGCATCCCTCACTGGAGGATATCCGTGTATAGGTGATTGCAAGTTTCTTTAACCACCAGTTTGAATTCATGTATGCTTGTTATTGGCCAGTCTGTGAGTAGTTAAAATTCTTATATGGTTGTGGTGAAATGAATCAGAAAGAGAACCTGGCTGATTTTCTGTGGACTTGTGGAGAGATATTTTAAAAGGCTGCTTGGCTTTTCTATAGGTGTCTTACTCATACTGATTACCAAGGATGGCTGGTGAGTCCTGTGGAACTTGGTCCTAACAGGACCAGTGGACAAGCAGGTTGCCTGTAACTGCTTTGTGATCTCTCTCCCTAGGAGACTTTGCCATTTTTGCCAATATTGCCCTTGCCTAGTAGGAAAGTTGTTTATCTGAAAGTAATGATCGATTTGAACAATTGCATCCAAGGACCTCCGACTGTGGCGTGCGGTCTAAAACGAGAACACCTTTCAGACGGAACGCGTTTTTCAGGGAGGAAGACTCCCGTGCCAGTTTTCCAGGACTGCAGACCTTTCCTAAGTGATAACAGGACAGCTTCGTGTGGCAGCCGATGTCTGTAGGGTGGCTTGCTCTGACTTAATAAAAAAAGACTGGCGGTGTAGGTCTGGTAATATTTATTTCTATTCTTAGTTATTTCTGCTTTCCTTGAGGTTTATAGGGGTGGAAAATTTTCTTTCCTTCTAGGTTCTTTGGCTGGTCTAATAACTAAATTGATGTAATACAGATTAACAGGAAAAAACCCAAATTTAATTCTTTATGTATGGGAGCCCCATAAAGATA